AGAAATCAGCAGCTATGAGACGGTAACAGAAGCCAAAATCAACCTCGACAAGTCTGTAGGCCGTGTGGAGAGAGTCTCTCTTCCCGGACCCTTCTCTTGGATGGACGGGTCTCTGAAATTTCTCAGTGTTTGGTTTTGGTCCTGACCTCCAATTGGAGAAGAATTGGTTGGAGGTCCGAAAAAAGGCCGAGGTGGCAGTTCTGTGGTCCTGGAAGAGGCTTTCCTTAAAGGGGAGGGCATAAGTTTGTGCTTCGCATATCTACTGCATCCTTCTTTACCGGCTTCCTGTACTTTCTCTCCCGTGCGCCGAGCTAATTTTATTGGTTCGAGTCTTGTTCGCCCTCTTATATGGGGGTGACAGGGCTCTTAAGTTGCGTCACGAGATCTGTTGCATCCACCCGTCCAAAGGCGGCCTAGTAATGCCAGTCGTTGGGATTCGTCAAAAGACGCTGCGGCTCAAGTTCCTGGATTGAATGTGTCTTCAAGATGAGGGTGACGGCCCTTCCTGGAAGGAAGACGCTAAGAAAGCTTTTTCGTCTTTGAGAAGTGTGCATGACGGCGAGGAGGACCGTCATACTCCTCGAACCGAGTGCTCCTATCGCGAGTGGCGACTTGCCGTGAAGGACTTTACTCAGGTTAAGGAAGGCCTCACCTGACTTTTGTGTCCTAATGCCTTATATCGCGTGTTAGTGTGGGGGGCCGATCGAGATACTCTGGGCTCTGTTTAACGAATAAGAGTTTAGTAGCCTTGAGTATCCAGTTGGTGGGATCTCAATAACGGCGATGTATCATTCACTTGGCTAATGTTACGGAAGGCCCTCTAGGTCGGCAAAAATCAGTTACGGAAATGTGCGTGCGTCGCTGTGGGGTGTTTGAGTTCTTGGGTCACATCTTTCACTGTAGCGTCCTACGGTCGTTTTGCGAACTTATTGAAGGTTACATGGTTCGTATCCTGGGCGAAAAAAAAAAATTGTTTACCAGTTCCATCTGCAGCAATGTTGTGCCGCAGCTGAAGAGGAATGAACATTATGTGTTCTTGTGTTTACTTGGCATTATGCGAGTCACGATTTGGACCGCGCAACAAAAGGAGTTTTATGCAAGTGAGAAGTTTTCATTTCAACTGATTTTGTTCTTTACGTAAAAGTTTAAAGTCTAAATTAGTGCGGAAAGGAGGCAATTGTCTTTATGGAAATTCGGCGAAAGGTGGTTGAATGTTTCACGTTTGGTTCACATGAGAGGGGATAATTTAGAATGGCATCTTGAGGTGACCTAGGATTGGGGTTTTGGGATAACGTAAGTAGTTTTTCTTTTGGTTCAATCCGCTGAACTTAACTTAGGTAGGGTATGGATGGCCATCGGTTCCTTTATTTTTTGCCCCCATTTTTACCTTTGCTTTATTCCCTTTCCCCACCCTAATTAGGGGCGTCAGGGATTGCGAGCGTGAGTGATTGCAGAATGGGTGCATGAAAATCATTTTACCAATCCCGCAGTAATTTTTTCGCCCACCTCGTCCAGTTAACTGTTATCTCTGCATGTCTAGATTGGGGGGTGCCCCTTACTAGCAATAGTTTTCTTTCGTTGTATATATATATATATATATATATATATATATATATATATATATATATATATATATATATATATAGGTGTCCATAAAGTTCGTGTGCACTTAAAAAAATTATAACTTTATTTGTATTTGCGATAGAAATAATCTGTAAAAAATGTTATAAAGTTCAATGTACCTAGTTTTAAGTAGAGCTAAAATAACTAATGTGATTTAAGACATTACTGTAAATCAGTTGGCAAATGCTTTCTCTGAACTTAAAAATCGTATTACCCTTTGTATTGCTAATGATGGAGGGCATGTAGAAACTTAAATAAAATTTCAATAAAACTTAAAAAATATAGATTTACTTCTTTCTAATCCTTTTTATAAATTATTTCTATCGCAAATACAAATAAAGTTATAAATTTTTAAAGTGCACATGAAATTTATGGACACCCTGTAATTTTTGTCTATGAAGGCACCTCGGCGTGGCGTAATGGTTAGTAAGCTTGTCTTGCTAGAACAGTTACGCCTGAGTAGTGAGTTCGATCTTCACTGGGTGCCCCATACCTTTGGCCTTGTGCCACATCTAAGCCATTCTTAGAAAACCAATATCTTTTTACATAGGGAAATTATTTTTATTAACCCAGCCCTCCACAAAGAATGTAGTTACGGAATTAAGTAGAAATAGAGTAAATGTGGTATTATGGCAGTGTTGTGTAGATGAAATGTTTTGGTGAAAGGAACAATGTACGAACCAGTGGGTCAGTAATTGAGACTAGTTAAGTTATCGATAGGACAAGTGAATACCAACCTCCCTTCCAACCCAATTTTGCCCACGTGGATTATTTGTACTTTTGTACAATAAATACGATGAGTAGCTATATACCTATATCTCCCCAGCGAGGCGGGGTGCGGCACAAGGTCAGTTATTTCAGGTGGGGAAACCCGAACGCGTACACTCGTGACATTGGTCAAAATATACCCAACCCTCGCTTACGCGGAATCGGGCACAAAGACTGTCTTAGCTGGTCATGTCCGCGGAACAGATACTACACTTTGATCGTAGTCATCTGGGCCGTGGAATGCAGGGTTACCTAACCTTAACCCTAATCCTGCCAAATAACGAGTTAGTAATCTGCGACATATTACTTCTTGATTGTGCTATCTTCATTCAGTTCACTGAAGGCATAACGATGTCGTAGGAGTTCAGCTTACATCTATACTCATTAAAACATTTATAATGACTTGTTTAGAGTGTTGGGACTCCTCCCCCACTTATAGGGCTTATATCTGGAAAAATTATTGTATTCTAAAGGAATTTCTAATGCTATATTTACCCATAAAAAATAGTTTTGGCTTTAAATGACAAACAAAAGGTTGATAAATCATAAAAGAAAATTAATCAATTTTGGTGTTGTGAATCTTTATTATGAAATGGACAAAGTCCGACAATTATTCTAAGACATTTTTATGTTTATACATTCTTTTTTATAGATAAAATATTTAAATAAATGCTCTGTTTATAATAAACAGTATTAACAACATTTACCGGCCTGAATATCCGGGAATTTTCAAAGAAAATATGCGTCTCCGTTTATTATTATTATTGATTATTATAAGCAGAGCATTTACTTGAATATTTGTATCTATAAAAAGAACGTATAAACATAAAAAATGTCTTACAATAATTGAGGGACTTTGTCTATTTCATAATGTCTGACGTCATTTGTTAACATTTAATACGTCATGAACAGAAATGAATATACGTGAGAGAATCATGGAAGATTGTAATTTAAAAGCAGTAAAATCGACCTTGCTAACAGAACGCTCATCTGTGGTCTAATCAGTTAAGGCACGTCAGTTTATATGATGTGTTCCTTATAGGATGCAGGTTCGAATCCTGTAGGAGAACGTATATTTTCTATGACGATTTCTCGGACATTCAGGCCGATAAATGTTATTAATACTGTTTATTATAAACAGAGCATTTGCTTAAATACTTGTATCTATAAAAAGAACGTTTAAACATAAAAATGTCTTAAAAAGCTTTATTATGTAAATAAAACTCTTTTTTTTTAATAAATAAACCCAAAAGATTTATTTATAAATCAGAAACACGTATTAAATTAACCCAAGAAGCCTGAATAAATTACCGTATATACTCGCATATCATGCGACATTTGAGGACCTAATTTTAAAGTGAAGGGGGCGGGGTCACATCATGCACGAGAATTAGCGTATGCACTGCTGACGCTGCTAGGTCGTCATACACGAGAATTAGCTTATGCACTGCTGACGCTAGCTAGGTCGTCATACACGAGAATTATCGTATGCACTGCTGACGCTAGCTAGGGCGTCATACACGAGAATTAGCGTATGCACTGCTGACGCTAGCTAGGTCGTCATACACGAGAATTAGCGTATGCACTGCTGACGCTAGCTAGGGCGCCATACACGAGAATTAGCGTATGCACTGCTGACGCTAGCTAGGTCGTCATACGCGAGAATTAGCGTATGCACTGCTGACGCTAGCTAGGTCGTCATACACAAGAATTAGCGTATGCACTGCTGACGCTCGCTAGTTCGTCATACACGAGAATTAGCGTATGCACTGTTGACGCTAGCTATGTCGTCATACACGAGAATTAGCGTATGCACTGCTGACGCTAGCTAGTTCGTCATACACGAGAATTAGCGTATGCACTGCTGACGCTAGCTAGGTCGTCATACACAAGAATTAGCGTATGCACTGCTGACGCTAGCTAGGTCGTCATACACGAGAATTAGCCTATGCACTGTTGACGCTAGCTAGGTCGTCATCCAGGAGAATTAGCGTATGCACTGCTGACCCTGGCTCGCTCGTTGACCAAACTATATATCTATTTACTGTAGTCAAAACGTACAGCTGTATTTAAAATAAACGCCACACTAATACTAATACTAATAATGACCTGAATTCATCTCTTTGATTGTGACTGTAATATTTTGTTAAATTTAAGATTGATAATAATTCTTAAATTAATAATTGTATAATCTCTTTGCAAGTTCTACGACTATAAAACAGCCATGGAATTTTCTCGCTTGTTTCATAGTCAAAGAACATGCAAGTACGTTATTCAATCATTAACTTAAAAATTATGATTAACCAGAAAATTCAAATTAGAAAATCGTAAAATTTTCACAGGTACTCCAAGTAAACTCAAATATTTAGTGATGCAGCATTTATTTCATTTTCTCATTTGTTGAACGAACAGCCATTGCTGCTATCGGTTACAATTTATAAATTCCTTATCTTTGTGTATTTCTGAGATGAGATATTCTAACTATTTACATTATTTACAATATTCAGAATATTGTCCTCATCTTTATTGTCATATTCACGACGTTTCTGTCTTTCTTTCTTTGTTTGTTTCTTTCTTTCTTTCACTTACTCTCGCTTTTTGTTTCCAAGTTCTTTTTCATTCTGACCTTCCGTTTCTTTCTTTCTTTCTTTCTTTCTTTTTTTGTCACTCTCTCATTCTTTCTTTTTACTTTCTTTCTTTTTTTTATTACCACATTGCTCTTTCGCTTTCTTTCTCTCTCTGACTCTCTTTTTTTTTCTCCTTCTCTTTCGGTCTTCATTTCTTTCGCATCTGACCTTCTCTTACCCACATTTTCTTTATATCACTTTCACTATCACCCTCTCTATGTAACTACCTCTCTCTTATCCCCCCACGCCCATTTTCCTTTGCGTAACCTTTCTCTTTCGCTCTCTTCAAGGTCTACCTGGTGGCATCCCTCAAAGACTCGGGCACTGGCGTCAACTTCTGGACGAGGATGAAACACGAAACGCCCTATGTGAGTGGGTAAGATCACAAAAAGGACCAACATACCAGGAAGCACAAAGCGCACGAGACCAGATTCCTGCATCGGTCTCGTTTGCAACCCTAGAAGAGTAGCAATTATGGCTCTCCACCTCCCTCTCCCTTGCAGCTCTCAACAAATTCCTTCCCTCTGCTTCCCCCAGACTAAGTTCTGTCATCCATTTGCTTAAGCCCGCCAGGTATGTCAAGCGTTGTTTTTCTTTGTTTCTCTTTCCCTCTATTCGACCTGTGAGTATCAGATTCTCCAGGCCCTCCTTCCTCATTATGTATCCCCGAAACTTCAGCTGCCTCTTCCTGATATTGAGTAAAAGCCTCCTCCTTGTTTGCAACTTAAGTCCTCATCGTTGCTCACACGCTCGGTCCATGATATCCTTAGTATCCTTCTGTAGAACCACATCTCCGTCGCCTTGAGTCACTTCTTCATTTTTGAGGAAATCGTCCAACATTCGCTGCCATAAAGAAGGACAGATGTCATGTAACAGTTCAGTATTTTTTCTTCGTCACCAAAGATATCCTTTTGTCTCGTAATACTCTGCCTAACTTTTGGAATGCGTCCTTGGCCATCCCGATGAGCCTACGGATCTCAGTTTCGCCCTCACCGTCTTCTGTCAAGACGCTTCCCAGGTGTTTAAACTTCCGCGTTTGCTTGATTCTAGTTTTCCCGACATTCAGATCGCATTTCGCGCTCATCCTCTTACTGACGGCCATGCACTCTGTTTTACCGAGTGCATGGTCATGTCTCTTACGTCACTGTAAACACACACAGTGCATCCCGAAGGCATAATAATCGGGAATAAATGGTAGGTTGTGTGAGCATTGATTGGAACGGAAAGATTAAACTACCGTGTAAATGAATTTGCCAGAATCCTTCTAAGCAATTTAGTCTCAGCCAGAGATTTGTATTGTTTTGCGATCGTTTAATACGTATTGATAAAAGCAGACGACTTCCTGTGGATATATTAAGCATTTTGCTTCAGGCCTCTTCCGTCAGTAATTCGATTAGACTTAAAGGCCAATCCTCGGATGGACAGACTACTTTCAAGCAGGCAGTTCCGTTTGATAAACACACAAGTGAAGTTTTCGTTCCTTGATAATTATCACATCGAGATTTCATTCCATTTTTAGTCATGTTATTTATGCAGTCAAATTTTACTTTCAGATACGCTTTTTTTATCATTACGTGTACGTTTTCATTACGTTGGTTGGTTGATTTTTTAGTGGCATATCAACACCTCTAGGGGTTATTTAATACCGAAATCAAAATCTTCTTAACACAATTTTATGCCTTCAACTACAGATGAAATTTTGGTCATTTTACTATAAAATGTATTTTGCTCATTCTACTATAAAATGTATTGTTGGTCATCTTGCTATAAAATGTATTGTTGGTCATTCTGCTATAAAATGTATTGTTTGTCATTCTACTATAAAATGTATTGTTGGTCATTTTGCTATAAAATGTATTGTTGGTCATTCTACTATAAAATGTATTGTTTGTCATTCTACTATAAAATGTAATGTTGATCATTCTACTATAAAATGTATTGTTGCTCATTCTGCTATAAAATGTATTGTTGGTCATTTTGCTATAAAATGTATTGTTGGTCATTCTACTATAAAATGTATTGTTGGTCATTTTGCTATAAAATGTATTGTTGATCATTCTACTATAAAATGTATTGTTGCTCATTCTGCTATAAAATGTATTATTGGTCATTCAGCTATAAAATGTATTGTTTGTCATTCTACTATAAAATGTATTGTTGCTCATTCTGCTATAAAATGTATTGTTGGTCATTTTGCTATAAAATGTATTGTTGGTCATTCTGCTATAAAATGTATTGTTGGTCATTCTGCTATAAAATGTATTGTTGATCATTCTACTATAAAATGTATTGTTGGTCATTTTGCTATAAAATGTATTGTTGGTCATTCTGCTATAAAATGTATTGTTGGTCATTCTACTATAAAATGTATTGTTGATCATTCTGCTATAAAATGTATTGTTGGTCATTCTGCTATAAAATGTATTATTGGTCATTTTGCTATAAAATGTATTGTTGGTCATTTTGCTATAAAATATATTGTTGGTCATTTTACTATAAAATGTATTGTTGGTCATTTTGCTATAAATTTATATTGTTAGTAATTTTACTGTATTACTGTATTTTTAAATTTTGTTTCGATTGTTGTTAGTTTTAGTATAAAATGTATTTCATATTTTTATAGTGTTTTTGTTTGGAGGTTCACTATTGTGCCCATAGCTAGGACCCTAACGGATGCTACCACCTGAGAACAACAGCAATTCAGAGGTTGTTCCACGCTCATCAAAACCTTCAATCTCCCGATCATTAGCCTTGCTGCCGGATATAGTTCATCGTCATGCCCAGGTATACCAATCATTACGTTTCCCCAGGTAATTTACAACTGGATAGAAATAAAAAAAAATCTCGTAACCGACAAGTTGCTACTTGTGATGGAATGAGGTTAAAATTGTAATGGATGCAGTTATAAAAATCTCAAAATAAATGAATTCAGCACATACATGAATTTATATATATATATGTTTATATGGTAATGTAATGGCAATGTTAGTCGTTTCCTTATAAGGAAACAATCGGCATTTATTGACCGAACAGACATTGCTACCGTCGGTTAAAATTTATAAAGTCTTTCTCTTAATTTTTTTCCCGGAAAATTGGTTTCTCAGTTCCAGTAACTGTTAAGGCTCTTTCCATTGTTGATTGAGATTTCCTTTCTGGCCTTTCTGTTGAACGTCTTGATTATTTAGTTATTTTCTTTTTAAGTTTCATTCGGAATCCATTTTGGTTATTACTGTTCTTTTCAAGTCCTCAAGTGATGAGATTCCCGTTATTTGGTGCATTTCTTTTTGTTGTGATTCTGTAGCGCCAGTCCCCAAAGTTCGAAGATGGATGGTCCCCACTAAGACCTACATGCTTCATTCGATCAAAACCGTTTACACACCTGACATATTTCTGAACAACAATGTTAAACTGAACCCTTTATTTCGCTCACTGGGGTAGACTGTTCTAGTTCCACGTGCCATGTTTGATGGATGTCAGTTATCAGTTATCTCCTGTTAATTTCCCTCTGAAAGTTCTGCACTGCCTCAACCAGGTATTGAACTCACATTCTTTGGGTCCTGTCCTGTTACTATAAAAACGTACGATGGAAAAAAAAAAGTTCTACATTGCTAACTTTTTCAACAATGATCTTCATTCTAGTGATATTCTAAGACCCGCTTAAATGCGGCACAAGGCCGGAAGTATGGAGCACCCAAAGAAAATCGAACGCACTACTCATTTCGTAATTGATCTAGTAAGACAAGATTTCTAACCATTACACCACGTCGAGGTGTTGTTCAAACTACAGTAAAGAGTTAATTTTTTTACTTCCTATTGAAGATATACTGAGAAAAATCTCAATTTAATTTGCTATCCTGATGACGATATTTTCGTGGGTATTTAGATCTTAATGATCACATGGTCGTGCGGTTAGACTGTTCGCATTCTGCCGATGGAACCCGGGTTTGAATCTCACCTGATTTGTCGGGAAGGAGACTTCTTAATCTTATCGGACTGAAGGATTAATAACTGAATTATGAGGTGGGCGCCTATTTATACTCCCTAATGAATATATGAGAAAGTTCTCAATTTAATTTGGTAAAAAATAGAGCGTAATAAAAGCACCCCCCAACTCAAAATGGACGCGTGAACCGATGATTATTGAGGTTTAATCGCCTTTAAGACGATTATTTTTTTAAACGATGCCAAAGCAGAAAAATAAAACAAAAAGTTTAGAATAGATTATTTGAACCGACGTTTTTGTTTTGTTTTACGGCATATCAACACCTCAATGGGTTATTTAATGCCGACAACTTTTTTTTCTGGTAATATTTTTGTTTTGTCAAAAATCTATTACTGGTAATATTTTTTTCCTCAAAAATGTATAGCTGGTAATATTATTTCAAAAACATATAGCTGCTAATATTATTTTTCAAAAACGTATTGCTGGTAATAGTTTTTTCAAAAACGTATTGCTGGTAATATTTTTTTCTCTTCAAAAATTTATTTCTGGTAATAATTTTTTACAAAGTATTTCTGGTATTAAAACCTATTTTTACACTTTTATAATGCTTTTTACCTCAGTTTCGGGGTTAACTATTTGCCCATAGCTGGGACCCTAACAGGTGCTACCATTCTGGGTCAGAGTGGACCTGGGAACATCAGCAATTGTCGTTCCATACTCCTCAAAACCTCCAGATCAGAGGCCTTGCAGTTGGACATAGTTTATCGTCTTACCCAGGACGCGGATATAGTTTATCGTCATACCTAGGACAACCGATGTTTTTAAAATCATGGCGAAATTTTCGTTTTTATTTGTTCAATATTTTGTCGTTTTGAAACTTTCTCTTTTCGGCATTATGCCCATTTATAATTTCGACAATTCGACTCTTTTTCTATTCGACACTTTGTCCATTCGAGACATTGTTCTTTCGACACTTAGTCAATACTTTGTTCGTTCGATACTTAATCCGTTCGATACTGTTATATAGGAATAAAATATCGCTGCCGACACTTGCATATGAACATAGAACACCAGAGAACAAACACAGGCGATCCCATTATTGAATTAAGTGGATCACGTGACCATAGACGAAGCGCATATACGTGACGACTCACGATTGATTTTCATTTCTAGTCTCTCCTTCATTGCAATTTGGATCTCATTTCTACTCTATCCTCTTACTATTCGGATCGTCATTTCTAGTCTATCCTCTATTGATATACAGACCGTTATTCTCTACTCTATTCACTACACTATTCCTCTATTCAGATCCCTATATGAATTAGTAGTCGAGTGAGTATTATCGAGCAAGTACTATTAGTGCGCCTGACACCAGTATTGTTCAACGGCGTTACTATAGTTGTATCTGCGATTACAAAGTATCTACTATTACAACGAGCATTACGGAAGTGACAACTGGTATTCATTGACATCACAAAAGTGGCAACGAGTGTTCGTTCGCATCACAAATATATATATATATATATATATATATATATATATATATATATATATATATATATATACACAACAGACTTTTTATTCTATCCTCCTCTATACTATTGACTATACTATTTCACTATGCAGATCACTATACGGTGATTACTATTCGAGCGAGTATTATCGAGCAAGTGCTATTAGCGCGAGTGCTATTCGAAGGCGTCTGACACCAGTATTGTTCAACGGCGTTATTGTAGTTGTATTCTGCGATTACAAAGTCTCTACTGCAACGGGTATTATGAAAATGACAACGAATATTCATTGAGATCACAAAAGTCCGTTGGGGAGAGAGAGGGGGGGGAGAGAGAGAGGGAGGGAGAGAGACGGAGAGAGGGAGGGAGAGAGAGAGAGGGGGGAGTTAAAGGCAGAAACATTGTCGAAAGAAAGAGAAAAGTCCAATAAAAGCAGATTGAATGTGTTACGAACCAGTTACTGTTGGTAAATAATTATTTTCAAATATTAAACTACTATAAAAACGTACAAAGGAAAAAAAAACTTTCTACATTGCTAACTTTTTCAACAAGGATCTTCATTCAAACTACAGTAAAGAGTTAACGTTTTTACTTCCTCATGAAGACATACTGGGAAAAAATCTCAATTTGGAAGGCGAATCGGAGAAAAAGAAGCGAGGAAGGAGCCTATACGTTATAGATAAGTAGGGATTGAGAGAGATTGTGAGAGATTGAGACAGAGAGAGAGAGAGAGAGTAAAGGCAGAAATATTGGAGAAAGAAAGAGAAAAGTCAAATGAAGAGCAGATTGAATGTGTTACGAACCAGTTGCGGTCAGCTGGTGGCTGTGATGTCATAGGACAAAGGTCTAATACCCTCCTTCCATATATCGGATTCGCTTGGCCATCAACTGACTACGGAAAGACGAACGTCTAGCGAAATTATCGATTTCTTCTCTTGTATTTCGAGTGGTGTTCCTCACTTAACATTGACAGAACATTTCGAGACACACTGTTCCTCCCACCGCCAAAAGGATAGATATTGATGAATCGATAGATATTGATGAATCGATAGATATTGATAGATAAGAAGACATGGGTAGAATTGTGGAGATAGTTATTAAGAGAGAAGTGGAGAGAGGTGAACAGAGAGAAGACGGATTATTAATCAATAGAGAAAGAGATAGAGAGTAGCATTTGAATAAGATAGATGAGAAAGAAAGAAAGACAGAGAGATATTAAAAGAGTGAGTCTGAGTGAGTGAAGAGAGGGGGGAGGAGAAAAGAAGATAGAGAGAAAGGGATAGAAAGAAAATGAAGAAGAGAACGATAGATAGATAGATAGATAATTTACGGGCTTAGATAGATAGATAGATAGATAGATAGATAGATAGATAGATAGATAAGGTAATGAAAGAATGAAAAGAGAAGCAGAAAGAAACGAGCGAGGAAGAGAATGTGAATTCAATAGAATGCGAAAAAAGAAGACTGGGAAAGAAGGGAAACGAGATAGATAGATAGATAGATAGATAGATAGATAGATAGATAGATAGATAGATAGAGAGAGAGAGAGAGAGAGAGAGAGAGAGAGATAGAAACAGTGAAAGAAAAATAGAAAGAAAAAAAAACAGAGATAGATAGATATATAGATAGATAAGGTAATGAAAGAATGAAAAGAGTAGAAGATTGTGAAAAATTGGAAACAAGAAGGAAAAGAGAACACTTCATAGATAGGTTTTAAAATAGTGAGAAAAAACAGAAAAAAGAGACTGAAATATATATATATATATATATATATATATATATATATATATATATATATATATATATATATAAAAATTAGAAACATTGAAAGAAAAAGAAGAAATAGACTGTAATATGGTGAGCAAGAAGAAAGAAGAGAGCAATAGATAGATATATAGAGAGAGGGAGATTGAAAGATAGATATATAGAGTTAGAAATATTGAAAGAAAAAACAGAAATAAATAGACTGAAAGATGGTGAGCGAGAAGAAAGAAGAGAACAATAGCTAGCTACCTAGTTATCGAGCTAGCTAGCTAGCTAGATAGATAGATAGAAAGGAACAGACTGAGATCGATATATAGATAGAGAGAGTAAGAGAGAGGCTGAAAGATAGATATATAAAGTTAGAAACATTGAAAGAAAGAACAGAAATAAATAGACTGTAAGATGGTTAGTGAGAAGAAAGTAGGGAACAATAGATAGATAGATAGATAGATAGATAGATAGATAGACAGATAGATAGATAGATAGATAAAAAACGTAATGAAAGAAAGAAAAGAGTATTAGGAAGAAGAGAGCCAAGAGTTTGAAATGGAGAGAAAGGAAGAAAGAAGTTTCTGAAAGATTGGAATGAGAAGCACATTATGGCCGTGTTATGGCTTCCATTATTTTTAATCTTTTTTTTACATGTGGATGAGGTTATTATGATTGTATTTTCTACTAGTATGTTTCGGATGGAGTCTGCTAAATTTGTGAGTGTGTTTAACTACGACCACAATGTACTGTGTTCGGAAAATAAAACAAACCTTTAACACTAGAAACATACACACAACTACATAATCTAATTAAAATAGAAAAATAAAATCATCCTTGATAATGATTAAAAGTAGAGCCAAAAGCGCTCCGAATTACAGAATATTTGGACAGTTTCTACACATTCTGTGTCCAGAAAAGTAAACATTTGTTTGAACACAAGAAAAATTAAATAAAAAGCTTAATCGCAGTACCTGTCGGCTTTAATGAAACATGTATAAATGAAAGATTGCTGCCTAAATGCACAATATAATTACATTAAGATATATAAATATATATCTCGTTACATGTCAATACCTGTGGAGGAATACATACAGAAAATTGTTTGATATGTCATTACATATGAATATATTAAGAGATATGAAAATAGTACTATGATTCCTTACAGGTAAATACCTACGAAGGGACACCTGGAAAATTGTTAGATACGCCGTTACATATAGATACACTGAGAGTTATGTAATTAGTGATAAAGCTCGTTACATGTGAATACCCATGGATGACACACATGGAAAATCATTAGGTACGCTGTTCCATATAAATACACTAAGAGATATGAAAATAGTGATATATCTTGCTACATGTGACTACACATGGAGGAATACATATATGCAAAATCATTTGATACGCCATTATGTATAAATACACTAAGAGGTATGAAAATAGTGATATACCCCGTTACATGTAAATACCTGTGGAATGATAAGTATGGAAAAATGGCTGATACGATTTTACATATGAATATATTCAGATATACGATAATAGTGACATTGCACGGAAAAATATGTCAAATTATATTTTTCCAAATCCTCTTATATAATTACTGTTCAATGTCATTCACATTATCTATCTATCTATCTATCTATCTATCTATCTATCTATCTATCTATCTCAGTATGTTCACTATCTATCTATCTATCTATCTATCTATCTATCTATCTCAGTATGTTCACTATCTATCTATCTCTGTTCACTATTTATCTGTTCATATCTATCTATCTCTGTTCACTATCTATCTATCTATCTATCTATCTATCTATCTATCTATCTATCTATCTATCTATCTCTGTTCACTATCTATCTATCTCTGTTCACTATCTATCTGTTCATATCTATCAATCTCTGTTCACTATCTATCTATCTATCTATCTATCTCTGTTCACTATCTATATATCTCTGTTCACTATCTATCTGTTCATATCTATCTATCTCTGTTCACTATCTATCTAACTATCTATCTATCTATCTCTTTTCATATCTATCTGTTCATCTGTTCATATCTATCTATCTATCTATCTATCTATCTATCTATCTATCTCTGTTCACTATCTATCTATCTCTGTTCACTATCTATCTGTTCATATCTATCTATCTCTGTTCACTATCTATCTAACTAACTATCTATCTATCTCTGTTCATATCTATCTGTTCATCTGTTCATATCTATCTATCTATCTATCTATCTATCTATCTATCTATCTATCTATTCTTTTCTCTTGTTTTCAAAGATGTTTGATGTTGATTTTCAGTCTCATCTTGTCCTCTTCATAGGTGACCTTGTGCCAGACTGTCTGTTCACTATCTATCTATCTATCTATCTAAATCTGTTCACTATCTATCTATCTATCTATCTATCTATCTATCTATCTATTGAAATCTGTTCACTATCTATCTATCTATCTATCTATCTATCTATCTATCTATCTATCTATCCTGATAACAGACATAGAGACTGAAACAATCTATCTGTTTCGAGGTGAAATGAAATTCAACAATATGCTTGCAAGAGAACAAGAAATTCTACTGGCAATAAACCCAATGCGTTCGCATAAACAAACACATTTTCAATATTGTCTGTTATTGTGTTTCGTCCTTTAATAACATTTGAGCAAAGAGAGACACACAGATAGCAGGAAAGATTAATGCAGTCTGTAACCATCGTTTCTCTCCGCCTTCTCACCTTCAATACATCCTGCGGCAAACTCCATTAATGTATTCTTCCTTCCATTTATTAAGCTCTTAATCGAGAAGGCATGGACTATGCAAACCCTTCAAAGGTTCCCCCCCCTCTGGGAATATGCACCGGGTTTTAAACAGCAGATCCTTTAACTGTTGCAGGCAACGCGATAGAATCTGTGCAATGTGAAGTCGTTGGCCCAATTGATTCATTAAGCGTTCAACGGGATTGAAATCGGAATTCTTTGGTAGGCACGATAGCAATGAATTCTTTATCTTCCTGAAACCATTCATTCCCTGTAGCAGAGGATCTATCTATCTATCTATCTATCTATCTATCTATCTATCTATCTATCTATCTTTGCCTATTTCTATCAATCACAGTCTGTTTTTAATCAGGATTTATCACTCTTTTAAGTAGTTCCTACTATCTATCTATCTATCTAATTCCGTTCATTATATATCTATCTATTTTTTTTTTTTTTTAAGCATTTCACCCCAAGCAAGGCGGGAAGCCACTAAGACGCAAGGGGTTACAGAAAATTTAGAGCAAGATCAGATAGGAGTGATAGAAGAAAGGATGAGGATAGTGGATAGATCAAGGCAACTGGTGATGTCGATTGACATTACACTTGAATAGCTGGAGATTATAGCTCACAGGGAAACTGGAATAGGGAAGGGAGTTCCACAGGCGAGAGGTGCGAGACATGAAGCTAGTAGAGTAGAAGAGACGGCTACATTTAGGAGTTTCGACAGTGAAAGGGTGAGAGCGGGATGCCAGCCTCGCGAGTCGCTGGAACTCGTGACGTCTGGGAACCAGCGAATGCATCTATCTATCTATCTATCTATCTATCTATCTATCTATCTATCTATCTATCTATCTATCTCAGTCTGTTCATATCTATCTATCTATCTATCTATCTATCTATCTATCTATCTATCTATCTATGTCTGTATATATATATATATCTATATATATATATATATATATATATATATATATATATATATATATATATATATATATATATATATATATATATATATACACTATTAATTCGACACAATTCTTCTAAACTTATTTTTAGTGCATGGGAGTAGACACACCGTTTTTTTTTTATTTGTGTTTTAATCAGTGTATATTACGTCCACCGGCCTGCCTGCCTGCTTGAGAAAACTTAACAAAGAAAACGTGCCCCCACCCCCAGAAGGATTCGAACCTGCGTCCTCACTTTCGTAGGAGAAATCATCGTTTGATTTCTTTGCCTGATCGACTACGAAGAACGTTCCACTTTATTAAGTTTTCTCGATTTCTGATATATATATATATATATATATATATATATTTATATATATATATATATATATATATATATATATATAGTTGCATATTTAGTCAGCAATCCTTCCTTTATGCATGTTCCATTAAAAACGACAGACAAGGTACTAAAGTTAAGCTTTTTATTTAATTTTTCTTGTGTTCTAACAAGAGTTTTCTTTTCTGGAAAAAGAGTGTGTAAAAACTGTCCAAATGTTTTATATTTTAGAGCGCTTTCGGCTATACCTTTAGCCATTATCAAGGATGATTCGATTTTTCAGCTTAATTGAGTGTGTGCGTTCTGTGTATGTATTAGTGTATATACTAATAATTCCACCCCTCCGCCATCCATCAAACCATCCATCCTAAAAAAAATTACTACCTGCATGCACAACCAAAGTTCCATTCTATGACCATAGTGGCAATATTTCCACCCAAACTAATGGTGTTAGTATGGGAAATCCACTCGGTCCATGCTTTTCTCACTATTATATGTCCTACGTAGAAAATTCGATATTTACACAGGTCTGCAAACCGAAAATCTATGTTCGCTACGTAGACGATATTTTTATTTTAGCCAATAACATTAAAGTAATAGAGAAACTTAAGACCACATTTGAGAAAAACTCCGTCCTTAACTTTACCCATGAACTTAGCCACAAAAACAAACTTCCATTCTTAGATGTCCTCGTTAAATACAGCAATAACACTTTCATTACATCATTATACAAAAACCCCACAAGCAAAGCAAATTTCCACTTAGGTACAAAATAGCAGTAATAAAATCTTTCTGAAAAGAGCACACCAGAACTCATCCTCTCGACTACTCTTCCTCAAAGAACTTAATAACGTTAAACAGACACTAATCAACAACGACTTCCCTAACTACCTTATAGACCAACAAATTAGACTATTTCTCCCCAAAGCAAGTAATAACGATAGCGAACACACAGCGAAAAATCACATAAACATTTATTACAAACACCAAATGCATATGAATTACAAACAAGACGAATCTTCTCTAAGGCATATTATAAAGAAATATACTACTCCTATTGATCCGAATAAAAAATCAAATTTATTATCTATTATAAAAAATTTAAAACAGCTAACCTTATCCTCAAAAATAACAACACACCAGCCACAAGTCAAAATTACAAAGAACGAACATTATCTATGAGTTCAAATGCCCCTTAAGGAACTGTGTTCCTGATCAAACCGGACTCATAAATAATTACATCGGTTACACAACCACATGTTTATCCAGACGTCTTACGTTACACCTATCTGATCACAGCTCCATTAGAACCCATTTAAACACACACAAATTTACCCGACACCATTAGAAACATACTAGTAGAAAACACAAATATATTAACTGCATCCACCTGCAAAAAAAGACTAAAAATAATGGAAGCTTTAATAATAAAAAAGAAAAAGCCAACTCTTAACAATATTAAATATCAACAAAGCCACAATATGCTAACCGTATTCGGAAATTAAAAACATCTCTACCACACACTAAGACATACACATAACACACACACTCAATTAAGCTGAAAAATCGAATCATCCTTGATAATGCTAAAGGTATAGCCGAAAGCACTCGGAAATATAAAACATTTGGACAGTTCTTACACACCCTTTGTCCAGAAAAGAAAGCTCTTGTCAGAACACAAGAAAAATTAAATTTAAAGCTTAACCGTAGTACCTTGTCTGTCGTTTTTAATGAAACATGCATATATATATATATATATATATATATATATATATATATATATATATATACACATACAGACACACACACACGCATATATATTTATATATATATATGAATTGTCGGCTCCGTGTACAGGTTTATTAAGAACCAGACACCTCCTGCTGTCCTATACCTTAACAAAAGACAGAACAAATCGAGAATGGTTTACTGCTGACATATATGGACAGAAGCTACCCAGTCTTCACATTCCATTTTCGATTGTTCAAAAGCGTCTACGCAGCCTTGTGGGTGATGAATTATTTTTCACTACAACCCCTTTCCCACAGACCAAACGTGTCAAACGTCACGCTAATCTATCGTTTTTTCCATGGAAAATATTCAGGTGAACTACATTACTTAGTCCCACCAGTTCTAACCTTCACGGCTAGGACCCACCATGACACGCCCATTGCAGTGAACCATCCTCATTCCCTTCGTATTCCGTTTTTCAGAAGTAAGTTCCACTTTAAGAAGAACAAAAACATGTCCATTCCTGGACGTTCTTGTAGAATTCTATAACAATAGCTTCACTAATTCACGGCACACACACAAGAAAAGTAACAATTCCTGTCATTTCATTTATAATAGTCGACGTCATCTTGGATAAGTACTAATAAAAGAAATATTATTATTAGAAAAAACAAAAGATAATCAGATACTAGGTATCCACTAAAATTAAATTTCGATGTGATATATACATATTTATACGTTCTTTTTATAGATACAAATATTTAAGTAAATGGTCTGTTTATAATAAACAGTATTAACAACATTTACCAGCCAAAATGTCCGAGAAATTTCTCCGACTTGAATCGAACTTGAATCCTATACGGAACCGTCATATAGCCTGACGTTCCTTAACCGATTGGGCCACATAGGAGTGGTCAGTTAGCAAGGTCGATATTAAACAATTGATATATATATATATATATATATATATATATATATATATATATATATATATATATATATATATATATATATTGCTAACCGAAAGCTCCTATGTGGCCCAATCGGTTAAGGAACGTCAGGCTATATATATATATATATAATATTAAATGTCCAATAAAACAGATCTTCCCAACGAGAGCTCATATAAAAATAAAAAAAAAATAAAAACAATAATACTACATCATATAAATATATATAGATACAAAGGTATCCACTAAAATTAATATTCAAGTAATATATATATATATATATATATATATATATATATATATATATATATATATGAATTGTCTAATAAAACAGATATTCCCAACGAGAGCTCATATAAAAAATAAATAAAAAATAATCATATCTATATTATATAAATATATATATTCTCATATAAAATATAAATAAAAAAAAACAGATACGAGTTATCCACAAAAATTAACCTTCGAAGTAATATATATATATATATATATTTAATCATTTCTTCTTCTGGTTTTCTTAATATTTTTTTTATTATATCCCTTTCTACGACTCCTTTTCGAATAGAAATAAAGAAACACATTATAACTGCCACTGCTTGAAACAGACAGTTAACGGGTAATAACCAAAAAACGATTTTTTATATGTTGATTAAAAACTTAATTTTAAAAGTATTTAAAAGTATACCACTCTCACATAGATAAGTAAAGAATATATATATATATATATATATATATATATATATATATATATATATATATATAAGGCTTAAACATTAATATTCC